GATTCGCCGAAACGGTTTTCCGTGCTTCTCTTTTTTTTACCAGAAATTTTGCCAAAAAATCAATGGTGGCCTCGAAAATTTTTCTTTTGAATATCCTGATTCTTTAAGGCTTGAGGATATAAAAACACTAGAAAACATAGTATATCAATCTTTGGAGGGCGTTGCTCAAGCGAGAAAAAATAATGCACTAAAAATCGGCGAACACTTTTGACCGCTACTGTACATACTGGTAACTCGATTACTTGTATCGGATGAAGAAGTGCCTTCATTATTCACGTTTTCGTAGTTGGTTATCGCTAGGGCACATCATCAACATCATGTCACAAGAACCGGTCGGTGTCGCAGAACATCACCATAGTGTGAAACCCTATCGATTTCAGACATTACTCTGTATTACCTTGCCAGTTCTTGCAGTTACCAGCAGTGTGGCCCGGGTTGGTCGCACCGTGCCGCCGCCCGTGACCGTCGTCATTTCGAACCGTTGGGTGTCTCGTTCCTCGTTCCGTTGCGTGTGTGTGACTCAGTCGGACGACCTTTGCAATTCGAATTTTCATAGTTGCCGCGCTTTAGGCGCCGCGTCCGTTCGTCTCCCTCAGAAGGTCATCATCAGCTCACATCTCATCCACCTCATGCAACGCTACTCGTCAAAGGTTTTCGGTAACAAGACCAATTTGGTTGTCGAACAGAACGGTAGGCTTACTGTAGACTTGGCCTGCTTCCAAAACTACCTTATTTTAATCACTTATAAATCATTTCAGAACAAGAAGGTGGCTTTTCAGCGGCCAGCCTCTCCTTGCGAGCTCAGAAGAAAATCGCCAGCAAGCTGAGCACAAGGTACAATTTTCAGTGGGCACAGGGTGTGAGCGAGAGTTTTTTTGGGTTTTTTCTCTCGAGAAAAAGTGGAAAAGAAGTAGCGGCGCTATCGCAAGATACAGGGGCATCCTCTAGACCTGAACCCAAGAAAGGACAGAATTATTCAAGAAAATGAAAGTTGCTCACAGCCGCTGAAACTTTCTCCCATACTAGCTTAGTCTCGAGATCACCAGAGGCGCATGTTTACTCGAATCTAAAGGCCTCATCACCACAATGCCCCCATTTATTGCGATAGCGCCGGAGCGGTAGGGACAGAACATGAATTTAGGAGGGAGGAAGTTTTGGAATTGCTCCATTCTTGCTATGTCTTTTTGAAGCGGTATTAAGGTTTCTAGAAAAGTGACGAAACTATTCATCAGCGAATCAGTTGATCGAGTATATCGACAATCTATACAATGCACTGCGAACCTACTACTCGAAGAAGGACTCTGAAAAGGTAAAAACCTTCCAGTTTTATTTTCACGTGAGCCTCGGTTCCTTGAAGGATTCCTTTGACCGCTTTTGGACTTGTATTCCCACAGTCATTATTGCATTAACAATGCTCATTGACTTGTTTTGTTTGTTAACTGCTGTTTTAACGCCGCAGTTCGCCTTGCGAATGTTTCACAAGAATGCTGGGTTGTGAACAAAACTTTCGCCCCAGGCGGGACTAGAACCCGCACCTCTCGCTTTCCGGGCAAGTGCGCTACCAGTTACGCTACCGGGGCACCATTTCATCCCAACTCAGCTTTTCATGGTATACGTACCATAGCTTTCAGCACTCACACGTATAACGTGTTGAGCCGGTTAGCCGATATCGGAAGAGCAGAAGATGCGAGTTCGAATCCCGTCTAGGGCGAAAGTTTTGTTCACAACCCACCATACTTGTGAAACACTGCCCATTGAATTAACTTCTTTCATGAGTCCACAGTTCAGGGAGATCCATTTATAACATTAAGAATTAGTCCTTGAGTTTACATAAGAAATTGAATTGGCCGTTCCACTTGTTTAGTTTCTTTCTCTGCATTCATCACAACTGCTACCGTAACCTCACACTAATAGCGCAGATCCGAAAAAATTAGGCCAACTTCGACCAACTAAAACAAATTTGGGTCTGCATTATTGAATGTGTACATCTTCCCAGCTTCACTTAAAAAAAGCTTTCGTTGTAAAGGAAAGAATAAGGCATGTGGCAGTGATCAACACTTTTTGAGATGCGCCACGCATTCTGTTTCCAGTCGGAAACCTCGTGGCCAAATGGATGGGATGTGCTCTTGCTCAGGCGACTGAACGCCGACCAACCCTCCTAATTCATTTAGTGTGCTAATAACGCGAGTAAATTTTTTTAGTCTACATTCGCCTCAGTTGCCAATCAAAAGCCGTTGAATTTTGAGTGAGAACTGGATGCGTGGCGCATCTCAAATGAGACCTCTGAAGCCAGGTTCCTAATTTGATAGTGATGAAAGCGAAACAATTTTCTCCGAGTATTCCTATGGCTCAGGCCAAACGATGCTCTTTGATTCAAACAAAGAAGTCAACAGAAAGCAATCCATCTGAAAGGAATTTAATGATAGCTTTCATTTGACAATTTATACGTTTTTCTTTGAAGTCAAATCAATTCTTGAGCTGTCCCAAGGCAAATTAACCCGATTGAAGGGACGTGCTGAACAATTGGAAATTAGGGTGCACATGAATCAGTATTAAACCCGAAGGCGTTGAAAAACTTCGAAATGTTTTCCGGAATTTTATCCCTTTTTGAGCCTTTCCCACAAGCGCTATAAATCGCTCTTTGCAATTCTATGCATGATTACCCACTAGGTTCTTTCATTACTGCTTGAGGCGCTCATGTCGTGGCGTGGGGGGGGGAACGTTCAAGTGAGTGAGTAACTCACAGTTTTTTGGGCTAAGCCTAGGGAGGGGAAGGGATTCTGGGGAGCAAGTCAGCAATTTTTGTTCTCCCTAGATTTCCTCCCCTCTCTTGCGCTTGGTTCTAGTGTTACCTTCCAGCGGTTTTTGAATGCTCCTCCCCCCATTCCAAGGATATAAGCGCCCGGTTTGAAATTACTGGGTTAAGGTACCAATGCACTTGTGGTAATTAAGCAAATCCAGCTAGGGACCAGGACCCTTGTGGGCAGTATACATCCCAATTGAGTTTGGGGCACCAAAATGTGAATAAGGGAAGGAATTCAAACTTGTTGAGTGTCCTCGGAATGCGCCATGCGCAGGGGTTCTTCAGAATAATGGAAACCTTTGTGAGCGTTCTACAATGCTATGGGACCTATTGATGCCTATTTGCCTATTTCTGTGCCCTTATGGCGGTGTCGAAGATATAACAGCGTCCTCGAATGGATAAAATGGTTGGCTGGCTCTCACGGTCGACCACAGACCGTACAGCTGCGGAGCGAGTTCGTCAAAATTTGCATTTATCTGTCGCCTGCCCAGCGTTGGTTTTGTTTATTTTTATCCTGGTGCTTTTTCCCACTTGTCTGTCGTGTCCTTCAAAACGCGGGCGGAGAGGCGACCGTGTTTTGATCGAGTACGAAACTAATTTGAATGCGACGTTCACGATAAAGGTCACGCTCAAGTGTTTTTTCTGATTGTATTGACTTTGAATCGGTTTGAACTTTCATCAGAGCTAGTTGGAACACAAGGGATGCAATCGAACAATTTAGATTATTCTATTTAGATAGCTATTGAATCATTTGTTTCGTACGTAATTTTAGTCGTATTATGTCTAAAAATATTAATAGAGTATGTATTGCTCGAAAACTCCATACTTACTATGGGCTAGGTAGGGTGCGTGACTATACAATCGTGGCAGTAAGTAGGTCGCCGCGCCAGCCGCCGCAGCCAGCAATATCGCGGCGAATTTGCAAAGAACTCAGCATCCAAACATTGGGAATGTAAGATTAGATGATGTTTCCCTTCATGAAACATGAAATAGGAACCACCTTACCCTTTAAAATGCAGTTTCGTTTTCGCTCGCCATTATTACATACTTATCATATCATGCTTATGTTAGAGCCTTCCTCGCCGCTACTCTGTGTCTTGATACGCAATATTCTTTCCGATTGAACCAGATTATCACTCTCTGATAGAAATTCAGGAAACTGATTAATAAAGAAGTCAAATTAAATCCAAAAGGACAACCTTTACACGGTACAAAGTTTGTACTGCGAGGCTTAAATCACTGCAGGGATCTTACAGTGACGCTTGCTGGCTTACTGATGTCCAGCACTCTGGTGTTATCAGTCACCTAGCCAACTTATGGGCATGGATGGATAAGAAAAGGTCCACACAGAAATCGCCGCAGCAACTGCCGCACGCGACGATTCTCGCCGCGTGAGCGGCGTGACCTCATTAGCCGACGATTGTATAGTCCGTCGCCCCGTTGATAGGTAGCTTCTTTTTCTACGAGTTAAAGGAATCTTCCACGGAAAATGGACCAGTGGGCGGGGGACGGACCGGAAGTGGTTTTGCGACGAAATGCATGGTAGTACGGATCCACGTTCATGGGAAGGTTTGAAGTGAATCCTATTCACGCTCGTGCGTTCGACACGTGGATCCGTACCTACCATGCATTTCGTCACAAAAAAAAAAAATAAAACCAACCCCCCCGGTTTTTTTTGCCGCGCACTGGCCATGGAGTCCGTCGAAGGTTCCTTCAGTTCGATCCAAATTTATCCTGGAGCAACTATCGGTATTGATATGGTTTAGCGCAGCATGCGTGCACTAAGTAAGCAAATAAATAAATTAACAAATAATACAAATAAATAAAGATAAGTAAATAGATAATTAAATAAATAAATAAGTCAATGAAACTGAAGCTGTTTCATAATAAGTATCTCGGTAGAAAGGATCCTTTCTTTATATTAGTACTTGTTCTTTGAATTTTTTCTGAACAGGAGGATTATGAAGTTGCTTGGTCTATGTTTGACACGTTCCTTGGACAAAGGTCACAAGAATGAAGGTCACATGGCTTGATTGTCAATATGGTGCCCTTTCTGGAGTGCGCCTTGTATTCCAGCTCTATTCAGAATTGTGATGACTTTGAATGCACACCTTTTCACATACGCTATGAATTTCATAGTCCATCTGAAGAGATGCGGTGAATTTCCTCCCAGAGCTTGAAGGTGAAAAGAAATCGGCCTCGGTAGGATGGATGATTAGCTTAGCTGCACATGATCTGATATCAGATTTGAGTTTATTATTAGAATAGCGCATGTGGGAGCCACTGCTCCCTTCGCTACCGCGGCCGTGGTTAGGGTAGAACGCGTTCCCCTAACCCTAGTTACTCGAGCATACCAAACTATTATATTTGCTGTAGTTCTAAGAGATTCAGGACAGTTGGTAACCTTTACCTAACCGAGAAAGTCGTTCAGGACGTGAAATTTTTCAAATGGCTTTCTGTGGGTTATGGGATTACTTGCATGAAACAAAGAAAGGAGGCTTTGCTTTCTTTGAGCGGCTCTGGGAATGCCAGAAAATGAATGGGAAGACTATTTTGTGGTTTCTGCTGACGACAAACCTTCCTTGATAGCTGCTACTGTATGCTGCAAATGCTGCAGAGTCCATTAAAACTGCCAAAATTTCACCTACTGGAGGAAGTTTGCGCTCGCTCTCCGCCAATCCAAGGACTGCTCATCGTTAGAAAAAATAAACCTTCCCCTTTACTCCGTGCACGTTCCCCTATCACTTGTCCAGAGCTGTTTAGACGAAGCGCACCACATCCTGAGAAACCCTCTCCTGTAAGCTTCTATATTTCCCTTGGCAAAAAGTTAACATGGTTATTTCCAAAAACAACACCTCGAAAATGAGGTAGTGCAACCGCCACACTATCCTTCACGTACACCATTCAACTCATCAAAGTGTCGATGCTGCGTCTCAGAATTCTCAAAACACGAGCTGGCCCAATCTTCGATGAAATCATTGCAATCTAACCCTTTTAACGAAATTGTTTACTCTCGCAAAGATGTTGGAGTGAAAGCGAAGTAGTAATTTAGGCTGAAAGACAGCGATTACCTTA